TGATCTGCCTCGGTTCCTTTTCTCCTCGCCACCACCTTTGAGCTTTTCAAGCAGTTTCTGGGAAACTTGCGCAGAGGATGATTTCAGTTATTGATCCTCCAATCGCCGTTTACTAATTGAAAAGATTCAAAGCGTGCCGAGGCCATCGCTGCCGTCGTCATCCGTTTCACGTCGACGTGTTACCCTTTTGTGGTGACAGGCTGCTTTAACACACGTTGGTCAGTTAAGAGAGTTAAGAACGATTGTTAAAGAACATATATATGTACATTACGCGTGCAACTTTGAAGGTTATGATTCCCACACGTGTGCGTGCGTGTTGGGAGAATGGGACGCAAATTGTGGCTCAAGGTTGGACGCAGGAATCGTGATTTTGTGAAACAGAGGGAAACAATTGTACGTATGTGTCCCCTGACGTATGCGCAGTCTCGTTGTTGAAATCGTAATTTTTGTGACAACGCTGTCAACTTCTTCTGAAAACAATTGCAAACATTCATCTTTAGTTCGAGGTTCGTCGGCCTTAACCTCTTGCCACGCACGTCGAGAATGTTTTGTCCCAAAATTGCAATATTTTCTCGGTTTTAAGTCTATTTAAGTATAACCCAGGCAAAACAAGTAATAAATTTATTATTCCTCAGTAATAATTTCTACCCATATCGATATCATACTAACGAGTTCAAAAAGAAAGCGACGAGTTATTCCATGCGGTTTGGTCACTCGTTATGGTCCGCGAATCAGTTGCCAACGCAAGGAGTTAACCTCTTGTACTGAAATGACGTGTCACGCACGTCGAGAATGTTTTGTCCTAAAATTGCAATATTTTCTCGGTTTTAAGTATATTTAAGTATAACCCAGGCAAAACAAGTAATAAATTTATTATTTCTCAGTAATAATTTCTACCCATATCGATATCATACTAACGAGTTCAAAAAGAAAGCGACGAGTTATTCCATGCGGTTTGGTCACTCGTTATGGTCTGTGGACCAGTTGCCAGCGCAAGGGGTTAATTGACCACGTCGCGTCCTTGTGTATTGAAATTTCACTAACCTAACCTTCTCTCTTTCTCTCTTTTTCTCGCAACGTCACCTTGTTCTCCTTTTCGAGATTAAAATTCGAAATGATTAGAAACGAGCCTTCTCTTTAATTAAAGTTTTGGAATGCGTGCACTTGCTTCCATCTGGAAAATAGATGAAATGAAATGAAATGGTTTTTCGAAAGGAAAATTGTGAGAAACATATAACCAATTGATTACAAATTATACAGTCATAAATAATGATCGATTGTTCAAGCTGCATGTGTGAATTTGATAAACGGCCTTTGAAACAATTATGTAATTGTCGCAGTGATTCTGATGTAACGTGCGTACAAGAACATATTGATTGATGACTTTACCAAAAGAAAGATGTACCAATATCTAAATATAATAAATATAATTAATTTTGTGTTTTACATTATTTATATTAATAAAAAAATATTTATAATAATAGTTAAATAAATTTTAAAGAAATTCTTCTTGCTCGTCACTTGTAACATGACACTTTAAGATTATAAATAATAAAAGCATAATTTCCGAATATCGTTGATTATAAAAGATATCGCAAATGCGTTTGTAAAACTGTTTGTATTAAAGAAGAAGGTATGATTACTTTGTTACTTTTACTACTTCGTTATCTTCTACATGTGCATTCTGAAACTCAAATAGTCCACAGAAAGAAAATGAAAGGTTCAATCACATGGATGCAATTATAGGAAATTAATTGTAGGAGATCGCCAATTAATTCTCTTCATAAGTTCTTTTCGAAATTGAGAGTCTAGTCGATTTATGAAATTACTACAAATGAAGTCTGTGTACCTCGCTAGTGTTGCTACGTTGAAACAGTATCGCCGCGTAGTGGTGAAATTATGGAACTAATCAGTAGTGCGTTCCTCGTCTAAAATATGGAAGTTTACTCCTTTCACAGGAGCTGTGTCAGCATCGGTAAAACAGGAATCGTGGTGTCGGCACATACGTAGAGAAGGAGCGCACTATTGTGCGACAAGGACAGAAATAGTGATTAATTCCACCATTTCACCACTACGTGGTGATAGTCTTTCAACGTAAATTAACTAGATTTTCCTTGTTTTCTTCATTCTTCTGTAGTTTATTGCTTTTCTGTAGTTGTTGCTGTCTTTAAGGTGGTTAGTTTTGTGTAGATTCATTGATTCGTTTTGGGTTTTTGAGTTTTTTATGATATGATTATTTGAATTAGTCGAGGATTTAGAGTGACATATAAAATTAAATCACCCATTGGACTCGTGTGGCCTGCTCATGGATTTTATTTTAAATTTATCGTTTATCGAGAGTTTTTTTAATTGCAGGAAGTTGCAGTCGTTCAGCATGATCCCCAAGCCTGAATTTTCTTTTGGAGACGGATTCTTTGCAATTGGTTGCATTTCTTTATCCATTTGGGATTTAGTCTCCCTTTGCTTGATATGCTGAAATAAATAACCATTAAAAATTAAGTATCTTCAGTATATCCAATTACTTATTGCTTATTATTACTTATTTTTCTTTTTCTTGCAAACAAAGATCCATAATATATATAACATTTTTTGCTCAAAATGACCTCCTAACATTTTGGAAAAATTTAATGGTTGATTCGACGCTCATTTTATATTTTAGAGATATCCTGTTCTATATTTTACTTACCTTGTAAGAAAATTTAACTTTAATGGAGTCACCAATTACCATACTAGGTCAATAATCTTTCATGTGACTTGAAAAAGCATCGAATGTCGCCTGTAACCACCTGTGGTACTGTATACTTCATTCCGTATTTAT